ATAAGCCAAAAGTACAAGATATAATATATCAGGAATGCACATAAGGAGGGGCTGTATGACGCAAGTTACACCAGCAAAATTTTCGAGAGAGCACATTTTTACAGGGTCATGGATTTTTTAAGCGATTATAAGGGAGTTCAGCCAGGGAGTGAGCTTTCTAACGATATTGATTATAAGTTTGAGGAAATAGATTAATTAATTTTTTAATACTTCCATACTGAATTTCTTTTTATTAATGTTACTGTTGTTTTTTCTTGTGTGTGTTATTCATTGGAATCATGGTTTTAAATTTGTATTTCTTAAAAATTAAATTTTCATCATGCATTAAATTTATGTTAATATAGTTAGCATATAAAGACTATAAAAGTTTTATATGTATTTATATTTTATTTTATTTTCAACCCTCCCCTGCCTGAAGGCAATACGGGTATTTGCAGCAGTGGGATGTTACTGTTACATAACAACCCACTGCTGCATTTCAAATTTGACAGACATACCCATACATTGTATTGTAATATAGGTACTGATATGCGTCAGCGAGAAAGTTGTCCAGCAGCATCCATTCCTATATTGATTTTAATATTTATATTAAGCGTAAAAATCCCTCATACAACTTCGTTTCTGCGTTCCAAGGCTGTTATCGGGCATGTTAATTGTGGCCATACCTTGAATAAGTGTGTTATTATATATGTGTTATCGTGAAATTTCTTGTGGTGTGCCGTTTGTGTTGATCTGTGAAGGTCTTATCTACAGTAATGTTGACGTTGCATGGATCTTTTATTATAGCCCTGAAAGTATTATATTGAAACAAAGTGAAAAATCCGTCAGAATGAAAGGACTGAAGAATTAGGTCATAAGCAGAAAGGAGTATCATCTTACGCTTGGAGAGAAGCGACTGATGCCAGGCTCCATCAAATGCTTGAGTGACATCCAGAAATACTCCTATTACATACAACTTCTGCTGTAGTGCCTATGGAATGTAGTCAGTCATCCTGTTTAATTGATTGATGGTTGAAATGGTACCAAATTATTTTTTTTTATTATTATTAATATTGCTCTTAAAACGATTTTACTAAATAAAACAACAATTAGTGTTTATTTTTTATTGACAATTTGTTGTATATTTTGAGTAACGAATTTCAGATTTAAAAAAAGTTTTATATGTGACGAATACATGGTTTCCAGGATATACAATATCATAATCGAAACCTATGCTAGATGAATTTTGTCCTCCTAGATCGGCTGTCTCCACACTCTTCTTCTGTCTCTTAATTCTTAAATAAGTTCTATACATTTTTGATAAATTAAATGAACACTTGCATCGGCGTATTGCCCTCCTAACCAATCCTCTGGTTATTCAACATCGCAACATTTTTCAAATACCCTCCTAAACATTTTTAGTGGAGCCTAATCTTTCAGCAAAATCGTTTAAGAAGAACATATCTTTAAATTTTATATCGAATCTAATGGAAGGTATCCATGAGTATCGTTTTGACAATCAGGTCTAGTAGCATTTTAAGGTTAATATCATGTAGTAGGTTCAGGCGAGCTAAATTGTTATGATATTTTGTATTAAAATTATTTTAATAATTCTTTTGAAAATAAAGAGTCACAAACATGCCCGTATCTTAAGTTTCAGGCGCTCCTCCTCTCTCCTCCTCCTCTCTCTCTAAATCGGCCTGATTCCTTATATTTATGAATTAAAATTATATTACCGAAATGTATTTCCATTTACATCAATCAACCATAACTTTCGAATCTCTACGTAATTTTTTAGCAGCTACTGAATTTAGAAATATAAAATTCTGCGCATGACCTAGTCGTATACCAGTACAATTGTCCCCGTTTCCTGAGGCTCAACCGATGCCTGATTCTAGAGGTTTTATTTTCTTTTTTATGAAACTTTTTTATTCAGAAATTTTGCATATATAGAAAAATAATTATCACCAACACAGGGAAGATTGACCCAGAAAAAGCGAATAGGATATCCAAAGCCAACTAGGTCTATTACCCTTTCAGAGACAGTATAGTAGGGCACAGGGAAGTAGGCAAGGAAACAAAAAGGCACATATACAAGTCGATATACCTCCCAACCCTCACGGATGGAAGCGAAAGCTGGATTATGTTAGACAAGCAAGTTAACCGTGTGACAGAAGCCGAGATGAAGTTTCTGCGGAGAGCTGCTGGAAAGACCAGAAGAGGCCGTTTCAGAAATTAACGCATAAGAAAGGATCTAGAGGTGGCGGAGCTAAATACAGTACTGGAAAACCGACAGTTGAATTGGTTTGGCCACGTTTGTCGGATGGATCAGGAGAGAGATCCGCGAAAGATTCTGCAAGCTCTACCTAATTGGAGGAGGCCGAGGGGTCGCCCCAGAATTTCTCATCAGAAGTATATACAGCGGATTAGAGAACAGAGAGGCAAAACCCTCCAGGAAATGAGGCGGCTTAGTAGGGACCTAGGGAGAGGCATGGCTGCATTGGAAAGAGGCTCCTCGAGGCCAGTTATGGCACGAAGAGGAAGACAAAGAGGAAGAAATGTTTTTGAAGGTTCATGAAGAGTACAAGAAAAAGGCTCTAGATTTTAAGAAATATACTTTGGAAATGTGTAGAAAGTCAAGTTACACAAAAAGGGTAGTAGTAGCTTCAAGTTTTAACCATTATGTGATTTTTTTGTGTTGATACCAAATCTTTCCAAACTACCTAAAACTTAATCCTCAGTGTTTTTTCTCTCATTTTGAGTAAATTGAGTTGAATGATTTTTATTTTATTTTATTTATTTATTTATATGATATTTACAACTGTATACAAAAAATACATCTGGTAAATTCGTACATGACATGAAACACATGTTGAGAAACTACCCATTGGTAGCACTCTAATAATATGTCTATATTAGGAGATCACGTGGCCATTTTCTTTTCAGACGTCTCGGAGGATTATCAAGAATTGAATAGGAAGCAAGGTTAGAAACAAGAGGGTTGGGATGGTTATGAAGTTTATTATGGAAGGACAGATATCTGGATTGGGCCAAATCTGATACATAAGGAACATTAAGGTCATTATGGATGATTTTATTTGTAACAATCTTAGGAGCATTGAGGATTTTACGAAGGATTTTGGATTGTAAGGATTGGAATTTGAAGGTTTGGTGGAGCCCCATAGCTCAACTCCGTAAGTCCAAATAGGCCTTATTATAGTCATGTAAATTAGTCTTTTATAGTTAATTGGAAGATTAGAGCGTTTGTCTAGTAAGTGTTGAAGTAGTCGGAAACGTCGAGCTGTTTCTTGTCGTTTCTGTCTGGTATGAGGATTCCAAGTTAGACGTTTGTCCAGATGGAGTCCTAGGGAGTTGAATGATTAAACCCAGAACTCTTATGCTCTTGATCTTCAGCTTTATTGCTACAATGTGACAATTGAATTTAGAAATTGCCTTTTCATTGCAATGAAACGAAGGTACCTCACACCAGATTTCGTCCTGGACTCAGTACTTTTATCTACGACATATATCAATAAAAGGTTTAGCAGAGCTATGAATCATAAATTAAATTATGGTTAGTGATGTAGCTTTTTTATGATATTTTTTGTCCCTGTTCGGTGGCGCCCCCATCCCCGCGACGATCCTGGAGACAAAACCAACCCTGATTAGGATGTTCACCACAAATATATATCCAATCTATTACGTCAACTTTTTTTTTTTTTTTAATAGTTTTCAATAAGGTGCGTTTATCCAATGCACTCCCAAGACTCTGCACCACAATGTACCACATCGATTGTATTGGCACTACATTACGTATCAAAATGAACTTTCCTCTGATCAGAGTCAACTTACTCACTAAGTTCCACTAACTTCCATTCCCAAATCTCCATCTTCATTCATTACAGGTACAGTTTATTGAATCCCATACCACAAAAGTCGCAGAATTCATTACTTCACCCGCTACATTCTCCTTATTACAACCTGAAGCGGTTAATCCTTCTGAGGTAAAACATCGATTCCCCGTAAATCACCTGGATAAGATCTCCTTACCCTTCATATCCTTCAGCAACATTATCACAAAACTTTCATATTCCTCACTTGCATATATAATACCATATTACGTACCATCCACTTTCCTTTTTTACAGAAAAACCATAAACTTGGCAAACTATCCAACGGCTTGATATCCTACAGACCAATCAACCTGCTCCTAATCCTTGTGAAAATCCACGAAAAGATCCTTTTGAAAAGAATCCTAGGCTTCTGGATGGACACTGTGGTTGAGGAAGAAGAAGAGTCGGTCCCAGATTGAGGTGGCTGGAAAACGTGGAGGAAGACCTGAGGACACTTGGCGTGGGAAATTGTAGAAGAGCTGCTTCGGACAGGGACGAATCCCGGAGAATAGTGAAGAAGGCAAGGGTTCTGCAAGGACCGTAGTGCCATTGAAAGAAGGAAGAAAGGAGTATGGTGGATGTTTTTAGTTTCCCAAAAACAATTTAAAGGGGTGGCGAAAAGTTTAATATTATTTAATTACACATACATCCCATCCAACAATACGCCTTTATCTATGTTGTACGCCTCAATATATGTAGATAAGGAAATATTTTATAGTGATATAACATAATACTTTTTTTAGGATGCATTAGAAAATTGCCTCTTATGTATGTAAGTAGTTTGCGGCAGAAAGCATTCCGAATCCATTAAGTTTTAGCTCCGGATATTTTCTCTAGGGCTTGAAAAGTTTCCTGCAGGTCAATATTTTCGTAGACAGAGCTGATGACATTTGCAAATTTTCCGTTCAAGAGTTTTCAAATTGCGATTTTTTTCAAAATTATCCGAAAACATTTAGGAATAAGAAAAAACTTCTATATGTCCCAACTATGTGCTTAATAGTAGATTATTTTTAAAGCATCATCTGTGTTTTTATAGCCCTCCTTTAAGCTCTTCTTTTTTTTTAACTAACGGGTTGCCCTTTTGCAGTTTATCAATTGGGCTCTTTTTCGGTTCGTCGTTTAGCTATATTTAGTTTTATTTAAAACAACAAAGACTTTGTATTGAAAGAAAATATTATAATTTAACTTCAAGTGTAATATCCAAATCACTGAAATGGAATTTCACCCACTTTCAGTTTGATGTTTTGATGTTCAATTAGTTTGATCGTTATAAAATTGTCTCGGGTAAACATTTAGGAAGCAGTAACAATAAAAAAGCACTTTAAATTTGAAAACAATGTTGAAAATAATATTATCTTACGCGTGAACAGTGACGAAATACTATTGCACATGTTTATTAATACTGAGACTTATATTAAGTGTTTTTTCAAATAATCAATTATGATTAGATTATAGTTGTTGATAATCAAACAAGTGTATACACATATCTTGCTTGATATATATATCGGACATCCAAACGAACTAAGTAGGTATTCGTCTTCTAAAAATGAGAGGTGAGCATTGAAACTTTCGATTTTCATCTTTGAAAACATTTTATCTAAGTAATCTCTAACATGGAGATTAATTGATTTTTTTTTATAACAACTATAATTTCTAAAAATCTAATTTAAAATATAACATAAAATACAGTGGAACTTTTTAATTTTAAATCAAAATATACAAAAGCTAAACATTTTTTTTTATATAGATTTTTTTTATAGCTGTGTCGTCTATTAACAAAAAGAGATGGCCATAAACTATAAAATTTTGTAGAAAAACTGTCAAAGGTTTACCAAAGTTGAATAAATTTCTAAAAGTTGTTCTGTCTTCTTTGTAGTTTTGTGTTCTGAGCTCTAAATTAATTTTTAGTAAATATTTATTATAATAGTAAAATAACCATTTTATTTAACACCAGGAGGCCCTGACTCCTTGTGTGTTATAGCGCCATTAAATAATAATAAAATAACCATTTAAAATTAATTAAAAAAAAAAAAAGTTAAATTATTCCTTTTTTATTTGTAGACGCCTCAGCTATAGGCTGATAATAGCTAAAATGATTAATTTCATATGTAATACAAAGATATAGAATGTTGTTCGTATATTATATTCGAAAAATAAGATGTATTTTTTATTTTAAATAACAAAAAATAGACGCAAAACAATTATTTAAATTATTATTTAATTGCAAAACTGTTTTAAACCATTATACAATTAAACGTTATATTAACTAATTTATATATTATATAATAATGTACTTTGGTATGCTAGTTTGGTATGACAAGGTTATAACTGGTCTTACATCAGATTTAACAAGAACGAGTTTAAAATATTGGATGTTCTTAAACACCTTTTTAGTAATGAGTAAAATTTATCAACTTTTTACTCAATAAACTTACAGGAATACTTACATTAATTATAAAAGCAAAACATACGACAGTCAATATGGAATAATATAATTCTGTGCACTATGTGTTTTCGGTTTGTAATGATGAAAAAAAAAAATTTAAGTTTTCCATTTATTTTCCATGGAAATTCTATTTAGTGCCCATGGAAACATTTATTAGGCATTCAATAATGAAAAATAATAAAGAATGTAGACGTTATTAAAACAACAGCTTAAAGCCAGTGATGTTTCTCCTTTGCCCCTATTATGACTTCTATAAATTAGATACTATTTTTTCTAAAATATTTAGTTTCTCAAGATTATATTATACATCTAAATCACTCACCATTCATATTTTCCAAAATCTGGTTTCATCCTACGAAAATATTTTCCCATTTTAGCCTGAAGTTAATTATCAAATTCTTTTATAGTTTAATATATATATATATATATATATATATATATATATATATATATATATATATATATATATACATTTGGCATTGCTACTGACAACGAGAATGATTAATAATAATAATGTATGTAAAATGAGGTTTTTTAAAATATAATATATAATATAAAACTAATTGTTTTTCTACTAACATTATACAGTCGAAATTTGGAGTGTATTATTACTCTAAGTTCAAAGCTATTCATACTAAAAATTCAACATCATGATGATCAATATTATAATAATTTACTATTTAATAGATTTAAATAGCGTGGAATCAATAAAAATAAAAAAACACGAAAACCTTGTTGCTGAACACTAATATTTTCTTTCTTTTCCTTTTTTTTTTTGCCATTTTTTTTATTAACTAATATTACGTGCTGTCACAATCAACGACTTTTTTTTCCATTTACCTTTTGTTCTAGAGGTACAACCCAAACGTACAGATTCATTCCGTGAGTTCGCTACGAAAAAAATAGTTTAACAATTTATTATTTTTTTATTTATTTCCCTGCCGGACATTGTTGGCATACGGGGCATAAATTGGCATAGATTTGCAACTATCAAGAGAACTGCTAAAATGGAAATAATTCTTACATCCTACTCTTAGCAGTAGTATTTTTCATTTTATTTGCTAAAAAAGAATCCCAAAATGATTTTATGTTGTTTTTGAAAAATCGTTTCTCTAGAACCGTCTAATGTTAAAAGCACCAACAGGCCTCAAATAGGCTGATAGAATGCACTGCGAAGTAGTTTATAATAATTAACTTCGTAGGAAAATTTATTTTCTTGATGTTTACAGAATTACTCTATCGGGTGAAAAAAGACGTGGATTTCGAATTTTCATATTTTCAATGAATTGAATGATGGAATAAAAATAAAACTTATTGTTTCGAAAAAAAAATAATTATTATAATTGTACTTCAATTGATTAACAAAATATTTATGTATTTCATTTAACCTTTTCACAGTCTATTTGTCAATATTGTGCTTCGTGGCGGCAGTCAGTTACGCTGCCAGCGAAGGAGTTCTTTTTGGACCAAATACATGGGCAGTTCTCGTTGCTGGTTCCAATGGCTGGTGGAACTACAGGCATCAGGTATTTGTAAATTTATTACTTTCATTACTATGTAGTATGATTTATAAAGGGTATCTTAATGAATTATGTATACATGTATATATATTTATATAAATGGTGTACTACAAAAGAACCAGGAAGCATCATGGGCTGACTCTACGAGTGTGACAAAAAAGGCACCATTAACCATCATGTGATTTTTAACGCAAAATTAAACTTTAAATTTATTTTTAGATAAAATACATGTAACTTTTCTAAAAATTATCTTTCATGAAATTTGATGGTAACAATGTAAACAGGCTTTGAAATCGATAATTAAACAAATAAAAATCAAATATGATCAAATTTTTAAAAATAATTTGATAATTTTTGATCATGATCGATAAAAAAGATCATTATTCTTTAGCTAACTTTTTACAATTAACAATAATATTAATTATTTTTTAAATCAGTAATATTATTTTGTTTTCTTTCTAATCTCTATGATATAGTTTGAGTCTGGAGTAGCAGGCGGAGAATATTGTTGTCAAATATTAGCAATAGAACATCATTATTTCCGAAATTTATTAGAAATTTGGTTTACAATATATATATAGTGCAGGTATCGCTTGCACAATAAAAGCGATTTTAGAAATATTATATTAAAAATGTGTACATTAATAACGTACACATACACATTAATATTTTAATTTTTATGTAAAAAGTGATTCTATTTTCTGATCAATTCTTTTTTATCACAATTTAATCATTAGTATGATTGCAAAACCGTATCACTCAGTGAGTGATCATTATTTTTAAATCTAAGATCAATTTAAATTTTCATTTATAAATCGGGCACAATTTTAAAATTAAAAATCAAATGTGATAATTATTACATGATTTTGTGAAAATATAATTATCGATTTCTAATCCTGATTGTAACAGGCAAGAAATTTTCTATCAGTTATGAGTGTCCGGTATTGTTTCATATTAAAAAATAAGGCTCAAAAATCTAAAACAATACGAAAAATTATGTGCATGGAATATGTCATATTTTTTTTTTTTTGTTTTCCTAAATTGGTCAATTCATCTTCTTGTGTAATAAATGTGCTTGGTTGTCAAGTATTGAACACCCACTTCGTACATTTTTAATAAAATTATGTTATATGTATAGGCTGATGTCTGCCATGCTTACCATTCCCTGATAGAAAAAGGCGTTCTGCCAGAAAAAATCATAACCATCATGTATGATGACATCGCCCAAAATTCCCAGTAAGTAATGGATTATTAATTTGCTTCTTATTTCAGTTTTTTTGTTATTTGGTAATGAAACTTTTAATATACATTACTTTTATTTTCATATTTCTAATCTTAATACATTATATTAATTTATAGTCACAATTGTTAACATCACCAAATCTTTAAATTAAATATATATATGTATATATTTACATTCCAAGTATACAGGCTAAGTCAATAGAGAGAATCACTTTATTATCATAAAATAAAATGGTGCTGCCCAATTACATTGGGTCGCTAACAACACAGCATACTTATTAATCACTACAGACATTATTTAAAATTATTATAAAATTATATAGGATTAACAATATGTATGATCATAGTAAACAATATCTTTATACATACATATATATATATATATATATATATATATATATATATATATATATATATATAATAATAATAATAATAAGGCTTAGCGAACCCGAAGGTTCGATGCCGACACCACCAATCGCTTGTTACACACCTCCCTCCACCGATCGCCGTCCAAACCCAGTCCCCAGTCCCAAACCCAGTCCCCAAACCCAGTCCAAACCCAGTATATATATATATATATATATATATATATATATATATATATATATATATATATATATATGTATAAAATATTATATATATTTTTTTTCCTTTTTTTTCTCCTTTTTATTTTTTATTTTTACTATTTCTTTCATTCATTTATTATCATTCTGTACCCTTTCTCTTCCTTCTCTCCCCGTATACATGTTCCCACTCCTCACATTCTCTCCTCAATACTTCAAAATAAAACTATATTTTGTTCCAAGACGTTATTGTTCTCACACCTATAGTCAAAAAATCAGGTATAAAGAAAATTTTATCAAAAAATGATTTTTTATCACTTAATTTACAACAAAAATTATTATGCCGTTTGGTTATTGTAATAATATAATTAAATTAATTACAAGGAAATGGGATCAACAAAACCAAATCTACAACAAAAACTACGAAAGTGATAATAAGCACATTTCTTAGATAAAATTAACCATTTATTGTGTACCTAACTAGCACTTAAGCTAGTTAAAAATTCCAAAAAATGATATTTTATAAAATTCTTTTTAATTGGCTATTGTTTTTTATGGAAAAATTCCAGAGCATCTTGCTATTATATTGTTTAAAAAAACTTTACTTTGTTGCAACTGGCATAACTAGTAACTTGCTGCTACAAGTAGTTTTTTTTTTTTTGTTAAAATTCTTTAAACTATTAAATAATTTTAAAAATCTAAAACATGTGACAGAGCAGCGTTTTTTTTTTTAAATTGACATTTAATATTATTATCTAACAATTTCATTTAATACCATCGAACAACTGAATGATAATTGTAGCACCATAATTGGAATCGGCTTATTTGAGAACAATTGGTCTACCTTTTTTAGTTCCCTTCCTCCACAAATATTTTTTTTTTTCTTTTTGAGTAATTAATTTAATAACATTCTGTCACTTGGACAATGGTTATTAGGTGTTCACAAATATTTAAATGTATTACAAATACAAATGTCTGTAGTGATCTGTCTATTATTTTTTTAATTAGCAATCACAATTCTTTTATTCTTTTTTATGAAGCGGATGTCAGACATTCGACTTGTACCGCCCTCACTTTTTTTAAGAAACTCTAACTCTGACAAGAATCTCACGGTCTCCTTACTTTACTAGAAGTAAGGCATCTGATAATTCAATCGCCAATACTTGGTATAAAAAGAAACAATGAAAAAATAAAGGGTATTGTGGCGTTATATAAGCGTTAGGACGATTTCATGGCCGCTCTGACAGTATTTGTTTCTTCACAATTAAAGAGAACATTATTATTTGCAAAATTCAAATTCCAATAATTCATAAGAAAGTCAAATTTCTTCAAAAAATTTTAATTCCGTTATAAACTAACAACATTTGTAATTTCCATACATGTAACAAACACCGATTCCTTTGTTCCATTACGTTGTAATTACGTCTTTTTTTTTTCATATACAGTTCATATACACAATAGAAGTGTTATAATTTCCAGATAGATTACAGTAATTGAGAAGTTGAAGTGTTGATAAAGACGTCTGGCAATAATATCAAAATCAGGCTGTTAATAATTCAAGATCTTTTTTTACAAACGGTATTCACAGATGTTTATGACGAACACATTGAATTAGAACTTTTTATCGTTTAAGCTACTGTCATAGAGAAGGGGTGTTCGTTTTAAATCTTATATTTTTTAACACTTTTTAAATTACCATACAAGGAAGTTCCATCCCCTTATAATAAAAATAAGAATATATAATATATAAGAACTTAATTTAAATGAATTTTGTTTAACATTGGCTTGGCATTTTTATATAAAAATTATGTCCATTTAATATTTTTTTTTATTTAGTAAATTTCATTAATCTGAAAACTAAAACGAAATTGAAAATTAAAATCTTGGATTATATTCCATTCCTCCTAGCACAAAAATTATCTATTGTTAATTCTTTTGTTTGTAAATATCACAACCTTCCAAATTAGTACCAACAATTATTAACAGTGTGCTGGTTCTAAATATTACTTAATTAAATAAATTTTCTTATTAATTTAATTAAGTAATATTTAGAACAAATGTACAAACGTTAAACTTCGTAAAATCAAAATATTCAGAAGTATTTATATTTATTCATTCCTTATGAATAAATCCACCTCGGTGCTGTGATATATTATCCTTGTATTTTTATTAAATTCCTTAATAAGCTCTTAATAATTTTATGAAGTACTCGGCTACGAAACGGTAACTGTGACAATGTAGTGGAACTAGGAATGTTTTTTTTAAAGTTCTTACACTTTGTGGAATATATATATATATATATATATTATATATATATATATATATATATATATATTATATATACATAGTCGGATAATAGGTCACTAAACTTTTATTTTAGGTATTAATAATTACTACATTAAATTATAATACATAAAGGGCGATTAATTAAAATGTTGTAATATTATATATACATATATAATGTACTCTGTCACAAAATATTAACTTATTTACTGATACCCTGGTAATCCCTTAGTTGTAAAAAAATTGGCTTAGAATATTTCGAATTTTATGGTAGAGATAACTGAGGCCAATGCTTAAATTATATATATTTTTCAAACTAACTGAACAAAAATTTAAAAAAGAATGGTGGAACTATCGCTCCAACTATTGATTTTCGGGTAATTTATTTACTTGTTTTCATCCTTAAGGTTGAAAAGGTAATCCTTTAATAATAAAGAACAGGAAAAATTAATAATTAGGAATGTTCGAAGAGTTTTAATCAGCTAACAAATCATGAAAAGTACATTTCGAACCTAGAGAATTTATGATTATATTAATTCAAAAATAAGTGTTGTTATTATCATAGGCTGATCTACAAGGAAGAGAGCAATTTCGGTTTTAAGCCCCTTCTTCCAAAAATGGTAAAATATATCCATATCTTATGAAAGAAATATTTAAAAAACTATCTCTAAAAGTATTATTGTTAGTGTAATTTTATTTAATAGGACTTCAAGATTCACTTAAACACCATTTTACATAGGTAGTTAATTTATTCATTTTTCTTCTAAAGTAAATATCGTTATACTTTTTGATTAATATTTATTGTTATTTTGCTTCTATTTATTTTATATTTTTTGTACATATTGTGTGAATATTATCCTACCTCACTATAACTGATTGTCCATGTGACAGATTGTTGTAATACTCAATAAATAAATAATAAAAAAATACTTTCGGGCTTAAGCCCCTCCCCCTAAATTAGGTCCTGGATCCGCAAGTAGTTATTATTATCATGGCTTTTTAGATTGGCTAAAACTTAGTCACTTCAACCAAAATATATATAAGGTTAGTAATTACTTCTGGAAACTTAGTGATCTTCTTATTCTAAAACTTTTACTACAGGATTTTCGCTTCTAATATCTCTAAGCTTAAATACAGTCTTGTCTATATGTGTTGTAGTTTAATATTGATAATGCAAGGGCATTTATTCATAAGGAAATACATAAATAAAAGGTTTGTTATTTATTTATATTTTCGTACTTTTACTTCTATGAAACAAATAAAATGTGACACAAACTAATTATTCACGAAAACATGTATTTATTTATATAAGCCGTGAATCAGATCCAAGATCGAAAAAACATTCTGGGCAACTTCTTCCCCACTAATTAGTTACAGAATATTGTAGTATAAATGTGTGTTTGTGTGTGTATATATATATATATATATATATATATATATATATATATATATATATATATATTAAAGAAAACTATTAACACGATTGAAGTAATATATTTCGTTTTAATTATTTTAGAAATCCCAAGAAGGGAACCATCATCAACCGACCAGATGGTCCAGATGTATACCATGATGTGGTTATTGACTACTCAGGAAAAGTAAGTAATTCAGATTTAATTATATTTTCTAGCATAGGTACATACAAATAAATAAATTAATAAAAAAATATATATATATATATATATGTTAAATAAAATAAGGTATTAGGAGAAAAACGAATACTAATTTCTCATTTAACATATTTATTTTTTTTTATTTCTTTATGACATTTAGAACTGTATTACATAAATACATCAACTCAACTCCGTAAGTCCAAATAGGCCTTATTATAGTCATGTAAATCAGTCTTTTATAATTGATTGGAAGGTTAGAGCGTTTGTCTAGTAAGTGTTGAAGTAGTCGGAAACGTCGAGCTGTTTCTTGTCATTTCAGTCTGGTATGAGGATTCCAAGTTAGACGTTTGTCCAAATGGAGTCCTAGGTAACGGATTTGTTCAACAGGAATAAGTGAGGTGTTGTTAAAGGATACTGAAGGACAGGAAGTCATTGGTTTACGACGAAGGGTGAAGGTAATTTGATGGGATTTATTGGAATTTATTTTAATTCTCCAGTTCTGACACCATTCTTCCAGGTTTGTGATGTGGGATTGAAGGGTTTGGGATGCAATAGATGGGTCGTTATTAAATGATAGGATACATGTGTCATCAGCATATGTGATGATGACAGTATTGGGATGGGTTGGGATGTCAGCTGTATAAACTGTGTAAAGGATAGGACCTAGGATACTACCTTGAGGAACACCTGCAGACTGTGAAAAACGGGATGTATAGACATTGTTGTGATATACTTTAAAGTATCTATCAGTAACGTAGGAACGGATAATGAGGAAGTAGGTAGATGGTAGAAATTTTCGGAGTTTGTACAGCAGTCCCGGGTGCCAAACTCTATCAAACGCCTGTTCAACATCGAGAAAGGCTCCCGTATAGTACACACCGCGCTCCAATGCAGAGGATACTACATCTACCACACGATGGCATTGCTGTATAGTGGAATGGGAGGAGTGGAATCCAAATTGGTGATCTGGGATTATGTGATTAGAATCTAGGATTGGGTACAGGCGTTTTAAGATTTGTTTTTCCAGGATTTTTCCCATGATGGGTAACAGAGAGATGGTACGGTAAGAGGATGGATATTCTGGTGGCTTTTTGGGTTTGTGGATCATTTTGACAATAGATATTTTCCAAGGATCAGGGAAATATGTGGATCATTTATGATTTAAGTTAATTTAATAACACACATATTCATGTGAGTGTGAATTTATTATGATGTTCGATATTTTATACGATACACCTAAAAGTATTTTCTATTTCGGGCTTTAACACCTTCAAAAGTCAAACTCAGTCCGATTTGAAGCCACCAATTCAAATTGAATTGAGTTTTACCCTCAATTTTTTATTATAACTGTATAAAATCAATAATAAATTAAATTGAGTTAGTAAATACCATATTATAATTAGACTTTGAATAGAAATAATTTATAAAAATAATATTCGAAAAGCAATAATGAATTTTATTTTTGTTTCCAGGCCGTAACTGCAAAAAATTTTCTAAAAATTATTGAGGGAGATGAAGTAGGTATGGAAAATATCGGAAGTGGCAAAGTATTGAAAAGGTAAGAAAAACTCATATATCGATCAGATTAAAAAAATAAAAAATTAAATTAAAATAATAAAAAAATTATGTGAAACTTGTAATTGTCATACAAGCATCTTACACTTGTCTCTTTATATTCATATGCATAAAATATTTCTCCTCACGCCTTAAAATATTTGCGAATTAGAAATATTTGGAGCCAAAGCGTTTATTGTGTTCTTCAAAAAAATCAAAAGGTTGAGAGAAACATTTTATTTTATTCTATTTTCATATAAAATGAAATTATATGTATATAAATAAATAAATATATATATATATATATATATATATATATATATATATATACATATTAATAAAAAGCTTAATTAATGAAAAAATAAAATATATTTATATATTAGTAAAACATTCTATTTTATATTCCCGGTTAAAATGAAAGTATAAAAATTAATTTTCTAGTCACATCCTTCAGGCTTGGTGCCATTTTCTCATAATTTATCATATGTCTATTTTAGGCCAAAGGTCAAAAAAAAAGAAAACAGTTTTTTTTATCTCCTGTATGCTTTATTCAACGTTTCGTCTTCAGGAGCCATTTTCATATTAAAATTAGTTTTGCAGGTTCTTGAAAATGGCTCCTGAAGACGAAACGTTGAATAAAGCATACAGGTGATTAAGGAACCACGTTGGAAAGGTTGGCTCTGGGAAAAATTACAGGCTGCATATCTTTCGTTTCTTTTAATCCACACCCTTTCTCGCCCGTCTGGAGATCGAAGAGCGAATCTTGACTCATCTGTAAAAAGTACAGCACTCCATTCGCCCATAGTCCAATGGCTGTGTTCTCGAGCAAAAGCCAGCCGTGTTACTCTCTGAGTTTTGGTCAACTCTGGTTCTCGTACTGGACAAAAAGCCATTAATCCATACTCATTTAATCTTCTCCGAGAGGTACGTTCAGAAATTTGCACACCTCGAACTTCTTCGAGCTGATGAATCGCTTGAACAACGGTAAGGTGCCGGTTTCGTAAATTCTCAAAGTCAAAAACCGGTCATCCCGTGGTTCTGTTACCCTAGGCCGTCCAGAACTGGGCCTTCTATTGTAAGAACCAGTTTCCCGAAAACGCCTGAAGGCGTCTCGTAAATTTTCATATGGAACTCCGATGGCATTAGCTGCATATCAAATGGAACGTCCATCATCAATAAGTGCCACACCACGCGCAACATCCTCAGCACTAAGAGGCATTTTTAAACATAATATTGAAAAAATTAAAAGCCGGAAACTAAAAAATGTGCTGCAAGAAATGGCACTGTACTAATGATACTGAATAAACATTTTGATTCCATAGAAAGTAAACATTGGAATCTTGAATCATTTCATTGAATTAAGGATTAAGGGTTATTGTCCTCTATATCAACATTCCTAATTGAAAACAAACAAAAAGATTACCTATTTATTCATTAAAAATAATAGACCAATCCAAAGCAGAAATATTTTTAGATGAAAACATGAAAAAATCAAGTGGGTGGGATATTATGCCCGTCAGTGTATATCTATATATTATTTTTTACATTTCAGCAATGAAAATGACACTGTCTTCATCAACTTTGTTGATCATGGAGGTGCTGGAGTACTTGGTTTCCCAAGCACCTTATTAAAGGCTGCCGACCTTATCGCATCCTTGAACAAAATGAGCAAAAGTAATATGTTTGATAAAGTAAGTATCAAGAATTACTTTCTATTCCATGAATTATTATCTCAACAAGGTTATATATTAGTTAATTTTGGTGGTAGAGGTGACACTAAATGAACATCTTTAGGGCTGTAGATAAAAAACTAAAACGGTTCAAAGAATAAAAAATCTATATATGGAGAGAGAGAATATTTCATATAACTGTTATATAAAATATGTTTAATAAAATAAATCAGAGCAAAAATCAGCCTTAGCTAAGCAAAAAGACGAACTAAGGTATCTGTAGGCAGAGATGGGCAAATGCTACTCTGAGTACTGAGTACGAAGGATTTTTCTCAAATACTGACCTTGTTTGAGAACTAAACAATTTAATTACTACTTCAGATGCTGTCAAACGATAAACTGAAGTAGTTATTGAATTCCCAATAATGATTCAATGTGAGTAAAATACTTGGTACTGGTACTCATAATAGCATTTGCCCATTCCTTGCTGTAAGTCACGGATTCACGGAGAGATTTCGGACTGAAGTCCCTATAATACATATTCCAAGCTGTTCCTAAAGCTGATGTCACTTAAATAAGATATTACCTGAGTCACCAATATGCAGAGCCAATCAGACTATTTTCTATATCATTCTGCACTCACATTTTGGCTAAGACTAGATTTTCAATCCTCAGCTCCGACAATTGCTTCATCCTCGCAATATAGGCAAAGTCGTAAAGGCTATTAAATGTTTTAACAGTGAATAATATGAGGATAAATAAAACACGATTAGGCTTCTGTGTATTCATACCGGGAATAAAAAAAAGATGTATGTATACATCTCACGTCTATAGTGCAAAAAAACGAAAGCATCAACTAGAAACAGGACATCACTCCATAATTTGTAAGCACAAACAAGAATTTTAGATAACCAAGGCCTTGTGTTTTGCATCTTCCAATCATATATAGAAAAAAAAATTTTAAATATATTTTTATTATCATTTATATTTTATTAAGAGTGTAAACTTTGTTTCAGCTAATTTTGTTCATTGAAGCATGCGAGTCTGGATCCATTTTTGACGGCTTCATTGATCATTTGCCAAATGGTAATTTAGATATAAAAATATTATTTAGTTTAAAATTTGTATTACTAAAACAAACCTATTTATTTTTTTTTTAATTTATAGTAGATATCTTCAAAACAAAAAAACTCTTATCGTATAAATATTTACTTAAAATTGAAGAAATCTTACATTTCATAAATGGAATTTTAATTTCTTAATATTTTCTTGACCTTTAGAATGATCCTTTGTAACATGGAATTAATATCTTCATGTATACAAATTACATGTATGTAAATGTATAGGAATTAGATACATGAAACTTGATTTAATTTATTTTCATAAGAAATTCGATGTATTGCTTTTATTATTTATTTAATGATGTTTTTTTTTTTCAGTTTTTGTTAGTACTGCAGCTGCGGGCGACGAATCATCTTGGGGATGGTACTGCGATGACAAAAAATTCGGCACATGCTTTGGAGATCTCTACAGTATAAATTGGATGGAACGGTTGGACAAGGTAATAAACATACACATCAAATATTTACAGAGATCTATACTATCTACTTTATCAGTAAAACATAACAGTCGACCCGGATATCGATTAAATCCGAAAGGTTACTAAAAGTCGAATGGGGGGGGGGAGGAGCGCAATCTCAAATTGGACCGTATTTTCATAATAAGCTACCCTGAAAATATAATAGACGACCCTGATATCGATTAAATCCGAAAGGTAACTAAAAGTCGATTGGGGGAGGAGGGTGGAGGGGCGCAATCTCAAATTCGATCGTATTTTCATAATAAGCTACCCCGAAAACATAATAGTCTACCCTGATATCAATTAAATACGAAAGGTTACTAAAAGTTGATTAGAGGGGGGGCGCAATCTCAAATTCGACCATATTTTCATAAAAAGATACCTCGATAATGTGGTGCATATTGGGAAATTTTTTATGTTATTTCTGAAATATTTATTACTTGAATTTTGCAATAATTTATTTATGAAATAAATAATTCTGAAATAATAGTTATGAAATAATTTATTTCAGAAATAACTTATTTCGAAATAATTTCCTTTATTCCAAAAAATGTTAAAATATTGAAATAATTATTTCAGAAATAAATTCAGCAGTTATTCCGTCGAGATTATTTCATTGACAGTTAGAAATGTTATTTCAGAAATAACCATTATTCCGAAAATAATTCATTCGTGGAATAACCATATGAATTGTTTCAGAAATAAATTATTTCAAGAGTACCCAAGTCTATTTTTAGGTGGAATGAAATAATACATTTTATTATTTATTTAAGATTAGCCTAATTGGTTTCACAAAACAATAATATTATATTATTTTAGTTACAAGAAACTTCAATAAAAAAAATATATTATTTTTCAGCTCAAGACCAGTGAATCATTATTTGACAACTACAACGCAATACGTACAAAGACGACTAAAAGCCATGTACAATTGTATGGAGACTACAAACTGGGCTTTTTGCAACAATTTGAATCTGCAGAGGCTGAAGACGAATACCTAGAAGAATACCCGGAATCTCAAAAGGTGACTGAACTGATTCTAGAAAAAGATATTTTAACTCTAAATCTCGTCACAAAAACATAAATTTTTAATTTAATATTTATGAATTATATTTCAAGTTTTTCAGTCATTGAATACCCATTTTAAGAACAGTTTAGGACCTGTTTCCTCTTTTAATTAGCAAAAAAGAAAAACCAAAGCTAGAAATCAACACTCTTTTGAAAATATAGACATTACAATTACTTTTTGGTTTTAGGAACACAAAGGTGTCGATAGCAGAGATATACCATTGTATTTTGCAAGGAAGGAATTGGAAGCTGCAAAGGAACCAGCAAATATCATACTGAAAAAAGAAAGGCTAGAAAAAATAATCGAAGTAAGTTATCTAAAGTAAAAATTATATTATTGACATATTTGTAACTGTTGTCTATAATCAGAGTTCAATAAATAAATATTGAATAAACATGAATAATCAAAACTTTCGATAAATTTAAATCATGAATTAAGCTTTAGTTAAGTGTTATATAATATTCGATATATACACAAATCCAAGACATAAAAAGCTAAATAGAAGGCTTTACATAGTTTACTTAATATTCTAATACAGGTTAACAAGTTACGGTTGACCCTATCAGTACAGGTACAACCTTCTATTATATTATTGAAACAACAATCAACTTACGAATATTATACCTATTAATTATAGTTTGACCCGATTTTGAAATATTTTTATAATTCGTTTTTAAAGAAGTGCTTCCGATTGAAAGAATGGAAAATAACCAGGGTCGTTGTATAAAAAAAGCAAGATGGTCTTTTTCACATTTGCCACCTAAACTCCGCTCATAATTGTCTCTCTCTAGTGTTTTGCCTATACCCATATTGTATAACAGACGAAGGAAAGTTTTACTTAAAATATTTCAGAAACTAATCATTAAATGACCTCAACAAATTATTTCGTACGTGCTTGAATATATTAATAAATTTAAATCTAATTGATAGAGTAATTATTTCTTAAACTACTAAAACGATTTTAAAAAATGGATTGAAATCAATTCATATTTTTCTCGTGAAAAATAGTTTTATTATATTTTTTAATATAAAGAAATAAGTTATGATTTAAGTTACATATTTTGGAGGAAAAAAAAATTAAGATTTTAATATTTTGACCATGATCATAAATTATTTTTCTGATATTCTCGTTAATGAGGTCCATTATTGGCTATTAATTTTAAATAACAGCATTTACTCTCCCAACAATTTTTCTTTATTTTTTATTACGTTTCGGGATCACTTTCTTATCCCATCTTCAGACAGTATCTAATCCTTTTATCATCTTATTTTTTTTTAAAAGATTTGTCATAATTTTTTTTTTATAATTTCATACTTCATCCTTTAATTATATTGTGGACTCCTCTAGGGAGAGCTTAGTCAGTCACTCTCATTGTAACAACTTCTTTGAAACGTTAATAATCTTAAACAGCCTTAAATTTAAAACCTAAAGTCCCATGTGACACAATAATAAAATGATGAAAAAAGCAAAAACAATATGGAGTAATAAAAAGCTTAAAGTATATATATAGAACTATAGTAAATAGTTTTAAGTAGTATTGACTAACTACGACTTATTTATTATACATTTTTTTCATTTTAAATCATAATATATTTCATTGCACAAATATTATACTATAATGTAAGCCTAATACATAAGGAACGATATAATCGCCGATTACTTTCTAGAGCCGTGGATTTGCTGACAACTTGATTTCGAAAATTCTCAAAGAGTACACTGAAGGAGACGTGGTTTCACAACAAGATTTGGAAACTAAAAGATCGAAGCTCAACATGGATATGTTCTCCTGTTACGACGATTTGCTTACTGCTTTTGGTACTGACTGCTTCAGTATCCCCGAGGTAATATATATATATATATATATTTTTTTTTTTTTTTTAATTCAGTATTTTTTTCAAATCAGATCACATTTTGTAGGCAATTTTTAAAACATTTTTTCAATGTCTTACTTATTAATATCTCTTTACAATATAGACTTCGATACAGATATAGATACGATACTGAACTTGATACAGAGGTAGCTATGGATGTGCACATGAACCTTTGCATGTATCATGTACACATGAATTCATGTATGTTGGCACTGTTGAAACCAAACTTTCAAAATTTCTCAAGTCTTTGGTTAAAGTTCAGTTATTGGTTTACACTAATTCCTCCCAGTGTTCTTACTCAATAGCAAAAGAGATTATGCAATTCAAAGAAAAATTATAGAAACTCTGAGTAAAGCCACGTTGACAAATGTTCCACTATTTTGTTATGCTCACTGTTACTAAAGGTTAACTTATTAAAACTTATTAGTTTGACCTGATATGAAATATTTTTATAATTCGTTTTTAAAATTGATTAAGTAATATAGAAGCATTACTAATCAAAAGTATAAATAGAGTGAGCATAAAAAGAGAAGGAAAATTACTCAATTATCGTTTACTTTTAATTTTTTCTTAGGACATAGGAAGTGAAGAATAGTCAGTTATGAATAATAATAGTGAGGTTAGTTTTATTTTTATTTCAGCATATCTATTAAAACATTATTCATTAATAAAAGGATATGGCTAGTTGTGGTGATCGTTAGTGAGGTTTTAGTGAACGTGAAAAGACCCCACCTTCAAGAGGACAGTCCCATTTTTGCTAACCACATTGTAAATTTTCCTATGTACAATGGAAACCTGATTATTTTTTCTCAGATTTACAGTCTTTTATGGAAAAATACTAGAAGAAACAAAAAAATTAAATATTCATTTATTTTCATACCCACACACATACATATAAATATACCTAGGGTGAATAGGAAATTCACCTTTTTTGTAAATACGCATTCAAATATCATTATGGAATTTCCTTGTGTCCGTCTTCAATTGTTTTTATTATAAATAAATAATAATTATTTTTTTGTTTTTAGAACACATACATCATGAAACACCTGTACAAACTCGCCAATATTTGTGTGAGAGACGAGAGCTCCGTTAAGGCTGTTGCAGCGATCCAGACAGTATGCCTAGAAGAAATGCAAGCCATAAATCGCCTTGACTTTCACATTGAGTAAATTTTAAAACGAAACAAATATTTTATAGAAATCTCCAAAATATATTGAGTAATAAAGAGTCAAATTATGTATTTGTTTCTTCGATTTAACCTTTATTC